CCCCCAAACAAAACAAAACAAAACCAGGACTGCAGGCACAGTTCGACAGATGTGTCATTTCGAGTCTTCTGTGTTCTACCAATCCGTGTTATACTGTATTTTGAGCACACAGACATAAATTCTACTATGGTGTACTTATCTGATCAAGGGTCAGCAAACATCAAATAGTGTGTTTTCTGACGAAAGGTCACAACCTTATGACCTGTCAATAATGTCCATTTTTTGTTGCACCTAAAAATGGGCGTCTTTTTTATAAAGCTTGGTTATGAACAAATTAGACACTCAAAAAGTGCTCATTCACAGGGAAAAGTGCCAGTTCCTACAGTCAAACACTTCAGTCATAATGGTAATAATAATCACTACTTTATTTCCACTAAACGGAGAGGGAAACTGTGCAAACCTTTTGTCACCATTCACTGCTTTTAGAAATTATTTACTCAAACTAAAAATAAAACACCCTTAGCATGCAGCAGAAAATCAGAAAACTTAACTGTTTAGGAGATGTGGCTCATACACTGATATCAGTGATTGTGTCTCTCTTAGACATCTTTTTAAAAACTTTCCACAGAACAGAGCCTTCAACCTATAGAGGCTGCAACATGGACAACCTGTTTTCCCAATGGTCACATTTAGCCTACTTACCACTGTCATCATTTTTCTTCATTTTTTTCTTGGCTTTCAACTTCTGCTTCTTCTTCAACCTGTGAAAGAATTTCAGGAAAAATTTTTAAGCAGAACTACACCCACAGGAGGAAATTTGCATTAGGAAGTTGATCTGATAGGGAGTAATTGTTGGAGTATCGTTCAGACGCCAATTGACATTATTTTACTTTGACAACCTCTTGAAGAAAGTATGTTACCACCACTATCAGAACAAATCTATTACTAATAAAACATAGTACAGTAGTCTCCGCCTAAACGCACGGTGCTCGGGAGGGCTCCTTAGCGTGTGTTTATACGGAGCGTGTGTTTACATGAACCTTTGCAAAGGGAGGAAGGGACGCAGTCATCTCATTGCCTTGATATTCTAGTGACCTCCCTTTGTGGAGGGGGTCACTTTGGGCCGATAATGTGACGACATGTGACTGTTTTGTAAAAGATTACCCGACTGCGGTTAAGACTGCAAAGGCGTTGAATGGGTGGGGGGGGCTTAGTCAAGCTTTACCTGTCAGCGTGTTTTGCAGATTGGAGCGTGCGTTTAGGGGGAGTGACCGTGCGTTTGTACGTCTAAATTATATAGTAAAAAAAAAAACGTCAGAGGACGAAAGCGCGCGTTTGAGCGGAGCGTGCTTTTGTATGGCGTGCGTTTAGGCGGAGACTACTGTACAGAAAAGGTATACGTCAATTTAGTTTACTTGTTATAACTTTGAGCAACGTTTCCAAACTGAGGAAGTTATGACACCTATGAACCATACAGTCATAGATCTACACATTTTGTTGCAACAATATCAGTAATTTTCCCACGCTGTCTTTGAAGTGAATTTATCCCACTCAGTGTGCGTGGGTTGGAGTTTGGCTGGGGATTTATCACACGCCATAAGAAATCTTACAGCTTAGGCAGCTGTCTTCTCTCCCTCCCACAGCTTGGGGGCGGGGATGGGGATGAAAACTTAATGCCTACCCCCCCC